AATTGGTTCCCAGAATGCCCATAAGAATTCAACTACAGGGCTGCTATCATTTGTTTTCAGTGAGCTTTCTATCCACTGACAAGCTGATTGAAAGGTTGGAGAGATCTCTTGAGGGATGGGAGAACTGGGGGCTCAAGGAGGGGAAGAAAGCTAGTTTCACAAGGTCAGAGTCAAGAAGGCAAGTAGGTGCATGGAGAAGTTAAAGACATCATGGAGATTATTGCAATTACAGAGGGGATGTCCAAATCCCAGTGAGTAGTTGTGGAGGACAGGTGGCAGTCTCTTGGGCAGGATGAGGGTGAAATGTTTGAGTGGTGCTTTGGAAGAGATCTGATGGCAATATGGTGTTCAATGGTAGAGGGGTAGAGAGCAGAAAGATCACAGGTGAAGGTAGAGTGGTTTACTGGGTAGCTTATTGGGCATGGAGAATGCACTCCTGCTCCTGACCCATAAATGGTGCTATGAAGGCACTCTTTTTGTGGACTCAGTTCCACTACATCCTTTAAACCATTTAGAACAAACAAAGAACAAAGAAAATTACAGTACAGGAACAGGCCCTTTGGCCCTCCAAGCCTGCACCGATCCAGATCCTCTATCTAAACCTGTTGCCTATTTTCCAAGGATCTGTATCCCTCTGCTCCCTGACCATTCATGTATCTTAAATGATGCTATTGTGCCCGCCTCTACCACCTCCACTGGCAACGTGTAGCAGGCACCCACCACCCTCTGTGTAAAGAACTTTCCACGCATATCTCCCTTAAACTTTTCCCCTCTCACCTTGAAATTGTGACCCCTAGTAATTGAGTCCCCCACTCTGGGAAAAAGCTTCTTGCTATCCACCCTGTCTATACCTCTCATGATTTTGCAGACCTCAATCAGGTCCCCCCCTCAATCTCTGTCTTCCTAATGTAAATAATCCTAATCTACTCAACCTTTCTTCATAGCTAGCGCCCTCCATACCAGGCAACATCCTGGTGAACCTCCTCTGCATCCTCTCCAAAGCATCCACATCCTTTTGGTAATGTGGCGACCAGAACTGTATGCAGTATTCCAAATGTGGTCCAACCAAAGTCCTATACAACTGCAACATGACCTGCCAACTCTTGTACTCATTTAGTATCCCAAAGCCTGAGAAATCTAGTTGGATGTGGAGACAAATAGAATGACAGTTGAAAGAAAGACATGACCTCATTATAATTTTGAAACAATCAAGCTCTTTTCCACAGATTATTGGCTTCTTTCCTCTCAACCAGTTTTCCTAAAACCGCAAATGGGTAGGCTGGAAGTGGGTTTTGTTTTTGTTTTCCCTAGAGTTTTTACCTTGTTACTTCTGGCATAACTCTTACCCACTGATTTTTGAGAGTTAAAATTCAGGCCAATATTTTGACGAGAGAGATCAATCTGTAGAAGACATTGACAAGAAATAGTTAACATTGATGCATTCAAATGCAAATTAGTGTTTTTTTTCAATAATAACATTCGGAATATGACATAATATAATGTTGAGATATGATTGTGGAAAATGTAACATGCTTGAGAGAAAAAGGTGACTTTGGACTCATGATGCCCAAACATATTCACTACTGAGGTTTTCCTCATGTTCTATCTGTTTGTGGATTAATTGATAGAAATTGATTCCTACGATTGTCCGAGAATACCATTCTTAAGGTTTTCTGAAATAGTAAGATATTTGGCACCTGATGGCCCAACAAATCTTTCCTTACTATGATGCCATTGGAATAAATTTGGTTCAAAATTGATTTTTTACTTAGTTTGAAATATGTAGCTGCTACATATTAAACACAGCCTTATATCAATGCTCCAGGAATTGCATTATAACCATTTCTCAAGACATCACAAATATCAACACATTCTTTAATGCCAGAGTCAGAATATCGACAACTTGTTAACTGGTTTTCCAATAAGCAAACTCTGGGATCTGATCTCTAGTCTATTTTAAAACACACCCAAACGTTAATTTCTAATTTGGGAAAATGGAGGGGAAATGCGATTCAGCCATGATCTAATCAGTAGAGCTAATTCCAGGAGACAGAACAGTCTAACCTGGTTCTTACATAACTAATTTAGCAACAATAAAAATTTTGCTGTATCAAAGTTTGTGGTAGCACGCAACACATTAAAATCAAAACTGGCCTTAAACTTCCTTGTCGTGAAATTCTGTTGGAAGATCTGAGCCTACACTTCTACACTTCTACACTTCTCCATGTAGTTTGACAGCAATCACTTTATTCAATGGGTGCAATGGTCCCTGATAGAATCCGAAGCTCGCCTTTAAATGAATTATTGAACACTGCCTGCTACTACCAACCAATAAGTGTTATTTTACATCGTGTGAACCATCAGGTTTGATTTTCCTGTGTGTAAAATAGAGGTCTCATGGGAACTGACCTTCCCAGTCACGCCCTCAGAATATAAATTAGAACTGCACACCACGGTACAACAGGAAGACTGGTGAGTTAAGGGAAGAAATTAAACAGAATGTGATATCCAACTCTGGATGTGTGCCTATCCCGAGCTTCAATTAGGGCGCCGTTGCATCATCTGTTTTGCACGACTGCCTTGATTTTGAGCTCTACACTGTGTTATCTCTGCCTTGATTTTAACTTCTTACTTGTTCACTGTTCAATAGAACATACAAAATATGAGACAGAAGATAAGTGAAAAGACGTGTGATCATGATCCACGGCTCACTGTTGAGGGGGATCTCTCACAGTTTTCTAATAATTAAGCCAGCAATTACGACAGGCTCTCCATACATACATCCCAATCGATATCCCACTCTATAAATTTCTGAGATTGTAAATGGTGTGCGCCGGCCGCTGATATTGAAGAAACGGCCTTCCCAACACTAAGCCAGTCTTCATATTATTGCTTAAGAGTTATCATTACAAAACGAATAAAAGCGCCAGTGAGATTAGGAAACGACTCTCCAAGAGGAGTTTGTAATTTAGCGAGAGGACCAGGCGTAGTGAAAAATCATTTGCCCCCCCCCCCCCACCCCAATTAGTTAAGAAGCCGGTTTGCCCTCCTGGCCTGGGCTAATTTCACCATCGAGTGCCTTATTTTCTCTCTTTCTCTTTCTGCAGCTTCGTAGCTGTTTCTGATCAATAATTATATGTTGCTTTCGCTTCTCTTTTCTATCATACTTAACTGACAGCTGCAGGTGGAGGACAGATTGCACGTTGAACGGCTGCAGTTTTGTGACCTCAGTATTTGTTCCAAAAATCGCTAACAATTTGCCTTTGAATATGTAGAGAGTGGCGGTGTTAACAGTTCCTGGCGATTTACATGTAGGACCAGATCAGATGAAAGCGATTACTTTGATGAGAAAAATTCTGAACTAACCGCCCCCAGTGTGGAGTGGTGAGGGCGAGGAGTTGGGAATATTTGAAGAATGTCTTTTACACAAAACACAGCATCTCACAGAGATGCGGCTCGGGTGCTGCTTCAGATCCAGTCTCGAAGGTTATTGGATGTTGGCGAGCGTTTTGAGACAGAAAACATTGTCCATGAGCTGAGAATGTCTCACTCTCAGAGAAAACTCAGCAGCAAGGCGTCCGAGGAGCTGGGAACACTGAAAGGGAAACTCCAGAATCGACTCCAAGAACAGGCGTTAAGCGTGCGGCTCAGAAAAGATTGTTTTCAGCAGGACAACTTAGAAAAAAACAAATTGCAAGACCTGAAATTACATAGAAATACATAAAGTAAATAGGACGAAAATAACTAAAAGCGACTGAAAGAGTACCGGATTATAACAGATTGATCAAAGAAATGTAAAATAAATAATGACCATACTCAGGTTTTCCAAACTATTTTATCCAAGTGGATAGTTCAAAAGGTTGTATGCATTGAAATAAAATAGACATTATTCTGTTACCGAGTGTAAGTTTTCCTTACGGTAATGTACATGCTGGGCGACCAACATAACTAAAATCCTGACTTCAGTTTTGAAGGAATCGAAGCATTCGTAGTGGAAATTTAAAAGTGTGATCGCTGTGGTTTCAAGGGTGTGAGCTTACATTGCATTGAATGGTATAAAGAAGTGACACCTCCCTGAATCCAAGTGTCCGTCAATCCAGAAATTAGGACGGTAAAAATTAGCCGGGAGAGTAAATATTACAGTCATATCAGTAAGGGTCATGGTGTATTCTTTATGAGTGTGCGTCGGACCCTGCCTAATTTCATCAGTTTATAGAATTTGAGATTTTCCTTAATATTTTAGAATTGGATCACACAACACAAACATTTTTTTCGGGGTCAGTGGCTGTTCCATTTGCCTATAATCTCACACAGGGTAAATGATTGTTTATTTTCAGAGGAACGGGATTTTCGACCATATTCACCGGGAGGAACGAAGACGTTTCTCCGGTGCGGGGGATGGGGAGACAGGGAATTGGCAGCTGCAGCAGGTCCTGAGCGAAAACTTCTTTGCAGGCGGTGGAGGGAGGGTGGGGGATTGGGATGGTGGGGGGGAGGGTGGTGACAGTGGGGAGGCTGATTGACAGACGCTGAGTGACTCCTCCCACCCCTCCCTTACATACACACGCAGAGTGTGCAGCAGCAAATGCGCCTGAAGTGGCCCAGTATCTCGCACACACTTGCTTCAAACAGTGGCTAAGAGCCGCTTTGAGGCGGGTGTGGGGTGGAAGCAGGCATTCTGCACCCTCTGGGGGTCTTCAGTGAGCTCCTGTGACTCAGAGAAGATGGGGGAGCGGGAGTTGCAGCGTGTAGACCAACCTCTCCGGTAGTCCGTCTCCAACCTGCCCCTCTCTCTCTCCTCGACTCTCCTGTATCTTACCCCTCACAATACACCCCATCTCCCCCCTCCCACCCCCCGCACACTCTCCGTGTGTGTGATACAGAGTGTGCACATACATATATAGGCAGACAGAGCACTGAGCAGCCTGCTGTGCCTGGCGGCCGGCCGGACTGGGAGACGCTGAGCCAGGGGTCAGTGACTGAGCGAGAGGCAGCCTGCACACACTGCACTGTGGCCCGGGCCCCAGCGATGGCACAGCGGCCGAGCGCGGCGGCACCGCTCCGGGCGCCACTTCTCTGCTGGACTTGTTCCTACTTCTTCTGTCTGCTCTGCTGGAAGCCGCAGGAGTGTCAGGGAGCCGCCGGACATAACCAAGGTAAGCCAAAGGGAAGCAGTACACACCACTGAACTTGTCTGTTTTTGGTCAGCTGTCGCTAACGATAGTGAGACAGAGAGAGAGAGGCATTACCTCGGCATCGCCGCGGAGCTGCTCTGTCCTGTCACTTCTATATCCGTGCCTCTTACTTCAGCTCCCAGCCGCGGCACCTAGACTCCAAGCACCCAGCTCCCCGCTCCTCAAATCCAGATTTCCAGCTCACGAACTCTGATCCTAAAACCCAGGTCCCTATTCCCAGACTCTGTCTCTCAGAGAGCAGATTGTACCTTCCAGATCTCAGCTCCCAAACCACAGACTCCAGACCCCGATTCCCACACTACACTTCCCAGACCGCAGTTCTCGGACGCCAGTTGTCACATATGCAGTGCCCAGAGTCCAGTCTCCAGATCCTAAACACCCCCCGCCCCCACCCCTCCTCTCACGTACACGGTGCCTAGAGATAGCTCCCAGATCCCAAATCCCCAACACCTCCCCCAAACACACACACACTGCCCAAAATCCAGATCCCAAACCCCTCACCCCAAACACAGCGCCCAGAGATAGTCCCCAGATTCCAAATGCCCTCCCTTCACATACACAGTGCCCAAAGCCCAGATCCCACACCCTCCAGCCCCTATAGACATAGCCCAGAGTCCAGCTCCCAGGCACCAGATCCCAAATCCCCTATACACACAGTGCCTTAAGTCCAGATCCCACATCCCAACTGACACCACCGCCCACCGCCCCCCACCCAACCGCACACAACACACAGTGTCCAGAGATAGTAAGAACTACCGATGCTGGAGTGTCCAGAGACCAGCTCCCACCAGGCCCCCCGGGTTGCCAGACCCAGGTACCACACTCCTTTCCTGTTTTCGGGCCACAGCTCCCAGGCCTTGCTCTGGATTGTAGAATCCGGATTGGAGCCGAGCCCACACCCGAGTACATCCTTTTGTTTCGTGCTATTTAATATTATTTTACGTACAGTTTATCAAACTGCCCAATCGAGTCGAGGTTATTCAGTGTTGCCCTTGGAATTCAGTTCTGAAAAGTGGAGCTCCCCTTCCACAACCAACTTTCCTCAGCCTCTGTTCTTCCCCGGGGCTTCACCGCTGACAATCCACCGTCTAAACGTACCTCTGGCCCCAGTTTGTGCGTCTTTCTCTTGGTGGAGAATGCGTGTTTGGACGGTTTGGGTTGGGGGGAGCTGCTTTTTGGAAAGTCTTGGTCTTTAATTGCGGAGATGAAGTGAGCCTGGACTCGCAGCGGGGACTGATGTGTAGACACAAGCAGGCAACGTGTCGGCTCTCACGCCGGGACAGACTGGGCACACAATGACAAAAAAAAGTTTACGGTGGAGACAAAGAAGGCATTTGTAAATAAACCTTCTGGTTGCAGAAAACCTTTGAAAGTTGCTGGCTCCTTCTTCTGAAGGGACAAAGAGTTTAAAAACAAGGGCAAGAGGCATTTGCTTGTTTGTGTGTAGTAAGCATGTGAGCCTGTCTCTAGTCCCTGTGAACGCTCCTACTGTATCTCAAGACTGAAGACAGCGTTTAGTGCTTGTCCAAGTCATTTGCAGTTGAGACTAATTTGCGGCCTCAATTCCTTCGGTGTAAAATTCTTGTATAGTGTTTCAAATATCATCTCGAAGATGAAATTTGCGTATTGTGTTCTTTTTTAAACGGGGGCCGCATTGTTTGCAACGTTAACCGACTCTGACTGGGTTTACAATTGCCACAATCCACCTTTGCCCCGCGTCAACCACGTTACCCGCCAACGTCAGGAGCAGCGCAGCATGGACAGGCTTAACTTTGTTTCAACACCGCGCTCCAACTCGCAGAAATTGTCAGTGAAATTTGCTGGTTCAGGGTCAGCGTTAGGCAGCGAGTGCGCGTTCATTGAGTTGGTGACAGTGACTGTGATGGTGTGTTCCACCGTTAATGATTTAATCGCACCCCAGTGTGCTGGAACTGCGTGGGTCACATTTGATGTAGAAAGTCCATTCTTTCCTTGAGGCATGTCTCCTTGTTTGTAAACTGCATAATTCTGAATGTAAGATTTGTATTTTTCTATTAACTATAAAGGTGGCACATATGCTCCTATGATGCTGCTTGGCCTGCTGTGTTCGTCCAGACGTACACGCGTTTTGTTTTTTTTTTGCGAGGGGAAAGAAAGGACAAAATTCAGTCCAACGTTTGTTTTTTCTTAAACCATTCCACCATTATAATGTTTCCCTGCGTCGATCTGAAGCTAAGAAGTGGGAGCACAGGTCCTCTTGGGAATTTGTGGGGTGGGGGTGATGGAATTGGAGTGGTGCGGGGATGCTACTGAATTTTATCGGTGTGCACAGTCAACAGTGTAATCCAGATTGGTGTTTACTTCTGTGGTCACCAAAGGCTCATCTATTTTGTTGGATTTGCCATGACAAACACACACACACGCGCACACAGTACGATTTCATACGCTTTTTGCTTCTGAAATAGAAATGCCAAACGAAATTCGGAGTACGTTTTTCTCTTTAATGAAGGGAATGTTTACGTCAAATCTGCCCAGAAAAATGGCAGCGTCTCAACCTGTCTTTAACTTTTACAATTTAAAACCACAAAATCTGCACACAGTGAAATCCAGACTTTGAGACAATATGCTGGAAATTCGCAATGTACTTTTATCTGGCGTTAATATTGACTTTTTAAAACCACATTTAAATGATTGTGGGACCTGGGTGTTGAGTCATTAATTATTTTGCCCACGTACATCAAACAGCTCACAGTCAGAAGGATTGTTTGATATAAAATTCAAACGTCTGGTTAGAGAACGCGTCTCACCATGTCATCAACTATACATTCTTTTCGAATGAAACCCAGTGTCGTTTATGTTTAGCATTCACGCAGCGCAGTGCTTTTTTGTTTCTCATAGTCTTTGCAGAAAGCTTTTCTCCCCCCATGTTTGCTGGGTGCGAGGACAGCTCGGTGAAGTTGCTGTGGGAAAGGCGGATCAAAAGCCGTACCAATTATTGGTTCACTTTAACGGTGGATCAATGTCTGAGGCCACAAGCACTTGTACAGTGGGATTCACAACCACCGCGCCAGATTGCTTTAGTGGGATCCACGCCATTACTGGGAAAGTTATAAATACACAACTTTATAGGAGGTTGGCTGGTGTTTGGTGGGGGTGGGGGGGGGGGGGGTGGTGCAGCGATGCTGTTGGAATTAATGAATAGGTTTGTCTAGGTCACTGGCATTTTATTACTGCTCCAATTCCTGTTTTAAATGTCCACCGACTCCATTTTTCAAAGACCATAATGCTTGATTTATGAGGGCGCTTTTATTGTTACAAGATTTCTTTAGCATTAATAGGAGAGTTGACAGAAACAGTGTTGGTACATATGGCACAAAACATGCAGAAAATAATTAATTCACGTATTGTGCTTACAAGGGTAAGAACTGGAAAATGAACATAACGTAGGGATGGCTAAACTTCTTATATTACCAAACTGTTGGAAACGATAATATTCGTGTTTTCCTGTAGCAAGGTTGTAATTCTGCTTCCACTAATGCAGTAATGACTGGTGACAAATCAAATAAAACGTATTAATCTTTTGATGTTGAATATCTTTTACATATTCCAACATGGCTTGTTCACGTCCCTTCTGGAAGATCACTTATTTTTTGCTGGAAGGAATATTAGGTATGCTAGTAGTCAGAATTGCAGCATGCCAAACATGTAGAAAACCTTTGATTCCCATTTACAAAACTCCAAAAGCAGTGAGGCCCTACAACATATTTAGAGATTTTTGGATAATGCCCACTGATGGATTGACATTGGTGCTTACTGAACATTTTTGCAACACCTTGCTCATTTTAGCTTACTTTCTTGCGAAAAATAAAGAGTAGTCTCAATGGTCAGGATATTTAGTGAGAAAGTTAGAAGTGAAGTTTTGCCTCATGATGGATGGTGGTGATAATAGATTGCACTAATGAACAATATTGAGCAGAATTAATGAAAAATATAGGAAAACATATTCATGATGCTGTCAATGTAAAGAACAATAAATCTCAGACAGATACTGTATAGTATGATTACATGACAGTACAGGACAGAGAAAATATATTTAAGCAATTAGTTCACATGTAAATGAAGTCAGATAGTTAATTTGCAGCATTTACTCATTTACAGGTGGATATTTGTGACAAGAAAAATGTGGTTTTGGTGTGCATGCACTCCTACAATACTAATGCATCAACAACTTGCAGTCTGAGTATATGATGTATGGTGTTGATTATGATGATGTATGTTAATACATTATAAAGAGATCCTGCTTCCTTGAAGCAAAAAAAAGCAATGAAAATGAGAATTCCCAAAAGTTTTTAATGGATTCTCTGGTCCTCTTTTGAGATTTTACATCTTCAAAGTTCACTGTAGATAAGGTATGTGCGCATGGGTGAATTTGCAGGGAAATACTTACCCTTCCACTGTGTCTAATGAGTGATTGAGTTTTGTAGTAAGAAGCTACAAATTCTAGTGATTGAGAAATTCAGAATTCTGTGAGCTGGTGCTGACGCAAAAACATTATTTGGCTGAATACAGTTTGATTGCCTCCTCTCCATCCAAGCAGTATTTCTCAACCTGCAGGAAAGAAATTGTAAATTTCCCCCTTAATTGGTCTCAGTTTCTATTCTTTTCCTTACCTCTCTCAGGATATTATATAAATGACAGGTGAGGTGGGGGATGTCAGGATTGTGTTGCACAAGACGTCAATGTTGTGTGGAACAGACGGGATGGGCCAGTGGGTGTTTTTCTGTCCATCAGTATCTATATGATTGAAAGTATTTTCTGGCATTTGTGTTCTGTTTTCTTGTGATACTTCATTTGCAGCAATAATTCTCTTTACAATACTAACACTTCTTTTGTGAAAATCAAGGAGGGTGATTAGCTATGAGGATCTGAAATCTGCTAAATTCTTTTTTGTTCTCCTTTCCTGTCTATGTATATATTTTAAA